GCCGGTCGGTCTACTCACGATGCGGTCTGGAGGGGGGGTGCTGCGGATGAAGCACTTGATCTGGCCCTTCTCCCCATGTAGGGCCTGCTGCGTCTGCGTGCTGGAGATGGTGGGTGGTCCTGCAGGGGGGGGCGGGTAATGGATGATGTTGGGTCTGCATCTCTGTGTAACTGCTACATGCGCTCCACACACGACCATACGGGGTGGGAAGCGTCACCACATCACAACACCACAGTCTGCCATGGCGGCCGTACTCATGCATCTTAGTGAAAAATCAAAAATCCATGAACAGCTCATTTCTGAGGAATATATAAGCTTAAACTCTAAATAAAATAAAACGGACATTCGCTCCATAGCTACATTAATTGGAACCCCAGAGGTTTAGTTCTGTCTCCACAGGAGTTTTTGGTTCCTGTCTTCTGTTGTCTGTTGGCATCGCTCTTTCTTCTCTCTATCCTGTTATTTTTTAAACATGACATAGTAATTGATAGCCACACACTCATTTCAAGCACCTGGGTGACTTTGTTGTGAAAGGCACTATATCAAAATATATTGAATTAAGTATGGATGTGGTTTAAGAATACACAAGGATTTAATTATGGCAAACTAAGCTACATGATTGTTGAAAATAAAAAAAACAGCCACTGGTGATGGCATCCAAAATCCAGTCTTAGATATTTGCTGAATGCATTTTCTTGGCTTGTTACTAATGACACAATGCAAAAGCCAGCATCCTTTCAAACCAGCACCCATCAAAGCCTTCAGACTCGCTTTTCCAACGAGATCACCTTTAAAAGAAATGACAAGCGTACCGTGTGATGCACATGCACAGGGATTACACAACTACACCTATTGTGACCCTTTAGACCTAGTGAAGGACACTGACAGGACATAAAGCTTAATTATAGTCACAGAAGGTGATTTTCTGGAGCTCCTCAAGGTTAAATAAGGCTGGACTCCTCTGTGAAAACCTCTCTTTGTGGTTGGTCGGAATGGAGGGAAGGAAGGCTCCGGAAGCTAATGGAAAGGCAGCTGATGCCTCTTTGAATTCCACTCCTTCGGAATGGCCTTGCTTTGACAAATGGGGATGTCGCCCAAGCCTAAGTGCAAGACTTATAGTAAACAGCAGAATAGAAGCTCACGCAGCATCTAATACCTGCCGTCTCAAGGCGACGATGTTGAAAAGCCGGCGATTGGACAGTCGCATACAAACGCCTTCCTTATTAAGCCAAGATACCACAAACGAGGAGGCGGAAGGAGTCTTTCCAACCGTAACTCCCGGCCATTTTCTCCATGTTTCGCTAAACAATCATAATTGCAGTTTATTACCTGTCTCTAATTAGAATAAATTAGCATTTTAATGAGATGATGACAGGTGGCGTCTTCATGTACAGCTACTGGGAAGCCTATTAAACTAGGGCCGATATGGCAATGAGCGTGGTGCTTACTGGCCACGGTACAGGTATGGCGATGGGGGTGGGGCTCTGAGAGAGGGCTATAATGGTATATAGTGGCCGGGCAGGAGGCTCCCTGCCGTAAATGTAATAAAATCATTTCATACTGAACAGGAGTGGCCAAACGAAGTCTGGCATGGGGCACAAAGATATAAATGTGGAGGAAAATCAGATGGGTTTTTCGCTGAGCCCTTGCACTGAGTATGAATGGGGGAGGCAATGTGCATACCTAGGGTTGGGTGTGGGTTCTCTGCTCATATGTGGGCACCCATGTGAGTCCAGGATACCATGTTCCTGCACCCATAGGTCATCTCTCACTCCAAAAGCCCCTCTGAGGTGTAATATCGACTTACGCTTTAGTGAAAGGAGCTTGTAAATACCGAATGGTATATATCTACAGAACTGTTCTGCTTTCATCTTAACAGTACACGCTTTGTGAGTGAGCGAAAGAGAAATTATAAAGAATGGCATTGAATTTCAATACTCACAAAAAGCAGTACAATAAAAGAACCAATAAAACTTATTTAATTTTTTATACAGCTAACAGCTAAATGTAAAAACACATGCGCCGAAAAAGAACCGAATGACAAAGCAACAATATCAATATGTATTCATATCAATGAGTATTCATAAACCGCTCCAACGTGAAGCACTCTTGCTGTTAGCTGTTTAATTTCAATTAAGCCCCGCTGGTCCTCGGGGAGCGGAGCCTGTTTCCTGTGTCAGCAGCACTACGGGAACCCCAGAGAGTAGCAGCGCAGACCGGGATGCTAGATAAGCAAGTCAGTCGCAGGCGTTTGTGGGCAGTCTGTCTTTTCACGGCTAGGAGTGAGGTGACCGTGACCCCTCTACCCACCCCACCCCCTAAAAAACGCCGGCTCCCTTGAGTTGTTGCTGAGGCCTGGCGTCAGAGCTAGCCGAGTTTCAGACTTTATTTTGGGTAAGAATTTTGCTTTTAGCTTTTCTTCTCCCCTCGCGGCTTCACTCGGATCACACGGCTACACATCTCTGTCGCCGTCGAGTCGGCCCGCGATTCAGCCCACGTGTGGCGGCATCAAAGCAGCAGCTGGCATCCCAGCCATGACTGGCAGATTCTCCGGGAGGACTGAGGTTTACTCGCGAAAGCCGCCAAGCGATTCCGCTGGGTTCTGCGTCTTTAAGAGCCGCCGCGCTTTAATTATTCAGACGGTACCAAAGGATGCTACTTATTTCTTTATTTATTCCAAGACAGATCCAGGCCAGGAGATGACTAGAAACAATGTGTATACACATTCTCCCAAAAATAAAATAACAGTTGAAACCACTCAGGCCTGAGGATAGCGCTCCAAGGAAACAATAACATCTGATAGCATGAAAAGGAACAGACTTAACAAAATAAAAAAAATGTTTTTTTCCTTGTTTTCCTTTGCATTGTCAGTTTACTCAAAGTGAAAATAAACCCATAAATAATTCTCGGCCTTGTTTAAATTTAAGGAAAAAAGGGAACTATATTTTAGAAAAAAGGGGGAATGTAAAATCAGAGAAAAAGCAGGCTGAAAACCATGGAAGATGGATCTGTTGTGACGTTAAAGCATCGCTCGGCCACATGTCGCGCGTCGTGATTTTTCATTAAGCTTTCGGCTGCTTTCGGAGCAGACACCCCGCAGCATCCGCGAGCGGTTTTGAATTAATATTATCTGAGCCGAAGTCAGTTCCCATCCATTCAAACAGTCTCCTCCAGAAAGAGAGGAATGCTCTGTGTCTCATTAGCATGGATGTACGAGACGCAGGAGCGGCGGTATGACACATTAGGGCAGCCTGCTCAAGTGCCGGTCGCGATATTGTAATATTTTAAATATTCCGGCTAATGGGGTTGGGAATAATTCCCACCGGCACTCGCAAAACCACTGGTTTCCTCTCTGCAGCAAGTTGACAACAGAGAAACGCTCTAAAAGGCCCGTGGATTTCGCCGATATACCGCCCGTGATGTTAATGTGCGCCCCGCCTGAATGCTGAGCAGTCATAATAAAGCGATTCGTCTGGAAGTTTCCGGATCCCCCCTGCTTGCTCCCTCACGCTCATTAGTCAGTCACCGGCCGCCATTCTGGCCTCCTGCTATTGCCGTGGAACCTGAACGCATTACAACACATTCCCCATGTTTATCGTGTGAGGAGATCGAAAGAAGATAAACAAGCGGAGGGGCATCCGAGTGTTTGCAGTTTTCCTAGCCTGTTGAATTTGTACAACAAAACGACCCGTGCGGAAATCCAAACAGTTACATAGCGGGGATCTTTGCCATGTTTATTTTGGGAGCTTTCAGATAGCTACATGCCTGTTCTTTGCTTGAGCTAAACCCAGTGATATCTTTGCATTGAGCTCAGGGAAAAGCCAACTACAGCCAGTCATGTCGTTTTGTGGCTAGCAACAAACAGACATTTGTTGCTAGCCATTGTTTAAAAATAGAATTCCCGTTGTCTGGACAAAAGACATTCCCTTTCTTCTTTTGGGCCTGGTTGGTATGGTTAGAGGACGACGATGTGACGTACACAAAAGCTTACCATTTACCGTGAGTGAAACCTCCTTCTCCCCCGCGCCCACCCGAGGGACCACAGCACGGCACACATATTTCCCAGCATCCTCTTGTCTGACGGCCTTGAGGGTCAGGATGTTCTCATTGCTCAGCACCTGTGGGTTGCCACGGAGGTGGTCAAAGGCCAAGATGTGAATGAGCTGGGAAACATTGCCTGTTGACCCAAGATGCTGTGAAGCCATCTCGCAATACTTTTTATAAACCACTATATCAATTATTAAAATCCAATCTAAAATAGACTCATAGGGGCAACACATTCTCTCATTGGAGGGCTTCCTTTTTGGTTGCTGGGTGTCTTCACACCTTGCTTCTACTTTTGGTGTCAGACTTTAATGACTGGCGATCAATACATCGAGATAACCTGTCCTCTCTGCTTATGATGATGTTTTTTTAAGCCCGATACTCTGTAGTTATGAAACAAAAGAATATTTACATGAGCGACATACAAAATAGGTCTATCTAAAATGTATGTCGAGGAATTCAAGAAAGAGGCGAAAAATTAAACAATGTTGTTGACATTAAATGCTGTTCATAAACCTCAACGTGATAATTGTCTTTTCAGATAATTATAAATTGTTTTAATTTGGGACCTAATTGTTGTTTAATGAGGCGAAAAGGCTACATATAGATTACGGGTAAATATACCAGATAAAGACAACAAACACAGCAGATTGTGCAGCAGAACCACCCATTAGTGACCAGGTTCCATAGTGCAACGCACCACTCCAGAGCCTCGTTTCATCCACACGATGGTCAGCGACGGGTTGCCAGTCCAGGCACAGTTGAAAATTGCATCCGAACCCTGGTCCACCTGCAGTGACTGCGGCTCAGCGGCCAAACGTGGACCAACTGTAAAAACACATGCAAGATACGACTACTCCATCAGAGATGCAGCTTCCACGTTGAATTTTGTAGACAGAAAATGTATCGCTGATATTTTAAGATATAGTTAAAATATAGGAGACTTTCCATCCTAATACTCCACGGTTTTCTGCTCATTGAAACATATTTGAAGGCTTCTTAACATAAGGTTGAACAGGTCTCATCCTTGGTGATACTGCTTAGCCGCTATCCGATCAATTGTTATGGGTGGGAGAGTTAGGTCTACTCACAGTAGACGTCCACACATCTGCTGACATTGGTGATGCCCAGTGGGTTGGTGACCTCGCAGGAGACGGGCTCAGTAAAGAACGTGTGGTCCACGATGACCTCATAGATGTCGCCGGTAACTTCCTTGATCACACTGCCACCCTTAGCCCACCTAATGAAAAGACAAGAGAAAAATCAGAGCCTCTGTTGAGCTCCAAGGGGATCGATCCCTTCATATACCCATCTTTGTCGTGGTTTGCAGAGGAAACATTAGGCCATGTTTTCCTCCAGAGAGTCAACACATTTGACATTAGAGTTATTATACGGCCCTATAATTAAATCGTGGGTGACCTCTGTGGGCTTTTAAAGGGTTTTATGGTGGAAAATTACTCCTGTAACAAGCAGCCCAGAGACAGAGATGCTTGTCAGTTTCCATGTCATTGTGAAGGAAAGGTTGCTTCAAAAATGAATGCATAAGACCCAAACAATAGCAAATAACTTGAGTGAAACAAGGTAAATAAATATATGCAGAGCTGGACAAAGAGTATTTGTTCATTCATAATGCATTCCGTGTCATGGCACATGATAACGCGGATTAAGGCCCTGCTATGTCACGATCCCGAATGTCTCAAAGAAAGCGGCAGCTACCTGTTGGCACGGCGACCGTGGAGCATGCAGATGAATGAAACGAATTTGATAGGTCTGGCAGCATTTGCCCGCAGGAAAGCGCTGCGTGCGTGTACCACCTCCGGATAAAAAGCGCTACTACAGGGATCCTCTTTCATGCAAGGTAGGCTTTTGAAAACGCTCCCGTGCCGATTTTTGCTCCACGAAACAGGCAAGGCTGTGTGCCTGTGAGCTGTCTCGACACCAATACCTGTCCAAAATACTGCCTGTTTCAGGACAGTCAAATATTTGTTGTTAACTGAACAGCATCCATGAGATTTCCCATTGTTTAACATTAAATCAAATTGTGGAATTATGTCTAATGTGCAAGCTTTTGAATTTTAATGATGATGATGTTGAACAGGATAATTTTAATGACCTTGATAACGATTGCGATGGTATTGATGATTATAATGATATTTAACATATTTATGAGGTGAGAGTCTTAAGGCGGTAGTCTGTGGGAAGTGGGAAGGAAGAAAGGGTGGAAAAATAATACAATGGTTAGAATTTTGGTTCTGATTAAATTTGTAGACATCAGTGTCATATCCACAAACAAAAGGACTCTAGGGCAGGGGTTGTGGCGAAACATAAAGGGGGTTTATTGAACTCACTGAACAGGGACTGGAAATATACATGATCGCTAGGGATCAAAACAGGAGGACTGGTACAGGGAAGGGCAGAGGCCACGAGAAGCTTAGATGTTAATGACTGGGACTGATGAGACAAATAGGTACTTAAATACAGGGACTAATGAGGGGTAATAAGCACCAGGGCGGCTCATGGGGGCCACATCAGGGAGGATTCAGGAGGGTCAGGTGTGCAAATGACAAATGACTGTGGACATGTTGTCAAAAAAGAGTAACGTTGATTTTCATGGTGCTCCTCATGACTTCCGTCAATGATTTGTGAAAATGCAGAATAATGAAATCCACGGAGTCCCCGTCTTATGCGAGGACGACAGAACTGGCCAAATGAACCCTTGCCTTCACCCCGGAGTGAGTCTCGGAGCAGTGAACGATGAAGGTGAGCACCAGACAACACATTCCCCCTTAAATGGAGGCTGACGCACTCCAGGCAAGCCAATGGGATGGCTTAGCTAGCAGAAAATTCTAACCCTACCACGCTGCAGCAGACAGCACTACAGTGCCTCTTCTAAAAGAAGATCATGAAGGCCAATCAAAACATTTCTCTGCCGTATCCGCGGTTTTATCTCCATTGTACCTGAAAAAGGATTTGAGATGTAAGAGCATGAGCGCGTATCTGTCTGAGAGCATGATTCGCAATCCCGAAGGCTGTTTGATATAATGCCTGTAGGAGTATAGTTACAGTCTCCCTGATTTCACGCCCCCCCCACCCCACCCTACCCCCACCTTTTTACAGCGGCCTGTTAGAGCATTCCCAGTAGCAATAAAAATCGAAGACCTGAAGAGAAGCAAACACAGAAATTAATTTTGTTATTCAACATCAGGTAGATGGAGTTGGTCATTCGTGATGCATATTACGAGTGACGGTAACGATGTTAGCTTCTCCATATCCAAACCTCACAGGCTCTGTTTAGTATGTTTCCCATGAAGTGATGCAGTGTTTATGCACAGCTATGTGCGCTGAGTATTTCATTAGCTTTTTATTGCTCTGCGGTCTTTCCTACTTGGTTTTCAGTGACCCCTGAGACGTGTCTCTCAAGTTAGGGTTCGCTTTTTAAATGTTGGTTTGGGGAGAGAGAGAGAGACAGTATCCCGGCTTTCCTGGGAGGAATTCAGACCTGAAAGGTGCAATGCTGCAGAGCATTAGCGAGAAATTAAGGAACTAAGCAGAAATCAGGGGGTTCTTAGGCACCGTGACCGGTATAGAATGTATGGGAGGTAAATTCAGCAGTTTGGTGCTTCTTAGCGCAAATCGATTCAGAGCTGAGTGCTTCAAATCTAACATGTCTTCTCCTCTGAATTTCCATGAATCATTCACAGTATTACACACTGCCGTGTCTTTTCAATGCATGAGCAGAAGAATCCTCGGTGATGTTGATTTCCTTATGCTGTGTCTCCTGTGAACCTCAGTTGATGAGCCGGTGCTCTAGGTCATGGGGGACGAGGCAGTGTATACAAGAAAACGGATGCATGCATGACAATGTACACTCAGTTTCTAGTCCTGTGCAGGTGTTCGGAGTTTTGCAGGCTAGAGCAATCAAACTAGTTTGTTAAGCACATCTGAAACACAAATGAGGAAGAGTAGATACCACAGAAATATCTGAAAAAAGGGGGTGATTTTTAAATTGAAAAATCAGCATAATTGATGAACTCCTGCAGAAGTAAACAGCTACTGCTGGATCCCTTCGCTACCACTTTCGTCCAAAGCAAAACAGTATTTTTATCTTCAGTACTGGAGCATGTGCTTTGATCACAGTCTGGGTTAGAACCCCCAACGCCTTTGCATACCCCTTCCTGCTAGCAAAGGAAGTTAACCCACAGTAACCTATACCTGGAGAATACAGTACTGGGACCCATCCATCTATCCAGCCATTTTCTGTACCTACTTGTCCAATGCAAGGTCGTGGGGGTCCGGAGCCTTTCCCGGACATTATGGACACAATGCAGTGAATGACCAAGGATAGGGAGGCCAATCCAACGCAAGGCACACTCTCTCACCATTCAGAAACACAGTCAAACCTAACAGACCATTCTGGCCACTCCAATCCACCTTAGCTTGTTCTTGGACTTTGGGCAGAAATTGGAGAACCTGGAAGAAACCTCATGACGACACGGGGAGAACATGCAAACTCAACACACGTAGAGCCTTGAAGACAAGCGAAGAAGTGACAAGCCAAAATGGTAGCTACTCTTTGTATGGTGATTTCCGGTATTCAGTCGGCTCACTTTCTTCTTCTCCTTCATTAGGATGCTTTCCAAACTGCCTCTAGTGGTGTATCGATTTCAGATGCAGGTATTGACCAGCACTTAGCGGATTTGTGCTTTAGAGTGTCCACCGGTTTCATTAGAGTTAATAAAAATATTAACAGTGTGCCCTCCAGGCTGCCTCAGACCTCGGTGTTTTTGCATGACCTTTATGACAGTGCAAAGGATGTTTAATTTATTGCTGTAGATTTACTCAAAACCTATTACTCGATGAATGCACATGTATTAATGTAAGTCTGCACATACGTATGAGCATCTTCTATAATCCTTCACCTCACTCTGGCTATTGAAATAAGGTGTCAGCACTTTGTTGAACCCTTCAAGCAAGAAAAGATCTCCGTATGCTACAAGAAGGACAGACAACTTCTGTTCTAGGTGCTCCAGAACACCTCTGGTAGATTTAATGCCAAAAAAGACTCAGTTTTCCTACTGAAAATGGGCCATGTTGATTTTAATGTTACTAGACTTAGTGATCAAAGCATTGCGACTTTTGCCCCATGTAGCCTTTTCCCAAATTTCCTTCAGCTGGGCGATTCCCTTTGATATTGATTCTGTAGCATTTATTTCTTGCTCTGCTTTAAAACTGCACAGAATTGCCTGTCTAACAAATCACTCCTACCTTACTGCATTTCCAAAGCCCCGGAGAGGTTCTGTCTAGCCCCACCCCATTCCCATTAATGATGAGGGTGAGGAAAGAGGAAAACATTTTATAGAGAGGTGTTATAATTATTTCTGAAAGCCACATCCGTCACCACGGCAGCAGAATGGGAACAGCAACGACGGAGGTCCCTCCGGCCGACCAACAGTGCTGGTTTAAAGTGCCCCCCCCCACCAACACTAAAGCCCGGAGTGGGAAAATTAGTCTGCTTGCCACCATCTTCTAAATCCAGATGCACTCAATAACTCTCCTCAGGGCCAGTATAGCATTTAAGGGACTGAGTTACTTAAACAAATGGCTGCCCGCATGAGCCCCTTAAAGACCCCTACCCTGCGTAATCCACGTTATCAGCGTCTGAGCGAATATCCGTCGCGGATTGGAGAACCGGCATCCATCTTCTCTGACTAACACCATCTGCCGTGCAAAAACAACCAGGATATTTCGATTCCATTCAACGATGAGCTATGTGGGATATTTCCAGTAAATTGCGGGTTGAGGAAACGGACCGCCATTATTTTCATCCCCGGGCATTTGGGCTTGATGACGGCACTGCTCGTCGCGACGACGGAACCAGCCACCTGGCCATCATCGAGAATAATGCGTAATTATAATCCTGCCTGAATGGTGCAAATCAGCGGCTGGCTGCAAATGTGGCAGGGTGGATTGATTATTTTTAAATATGTGTGTTTTATCTCAGTGGGGGTTTAGCGAAGAGGTAAATTTGGGTGGCTTTTGGAATTTTTTTTCCCCCTTTCCTATTTTTTTTAATCCATTACCTGTCCCTCAGGAAAACGCACCTACGCTTCAGCAGATGGCTATGAGGCGCAGGAGTGTCTCCAGGTCTCAAAAAGATCCATAATTCATGCACCAGCAGCTGCTGGGCTGGTTGGGGGGGGAAGGGGCTTCAGCCCTGCAGCGAGCGACAAGTAACGCAGGGCGCTGTTTACTCAGGACAGGTGGCCCCAGCGTTACAGTGGGGGCCCAAAGAAACTCTGGAAACTTACTAATTCATGGCCTGCAGGGGATCCGATGGCCCATTGTGAACACTAGCATATCGCCATCCTCAGGCTAACATTCAAAATAAAAAGTGCGTGTGAATGTATATAGAGGAAAGTCTTGTGGAATTTGACTTGTCACCAAAAGCTTGGTTTTAAACCTGGAACGCAAACTCATGCATCGAGTATATCTCTAGCTGCATGACTGCATGACAGTCAAATAGCCACTGATGACGTTTCCGACAAAAGCACCCCGCTAAATGTTTACAAAGCAGCTGTAAAGAAAATCAGCAGCGGTGGGACGTAGCTAATAAGTAACCAGCGTACGAGGTTTTAAAGACGGCTGCTATTGTTTTGCGATATTAGACATGTGTCAGGGCGGGAAAAGCATTCATAGACAATGATTTATGTCACCAATAATGAAGCCCTACGCTTGACCTAAAGTGGGGTTTATTATCTATGGAGAACATCAATCAGAGAGCATTAATGAGCCTTCAGTGCGTGCTGAGGATTCCAGACTGAACTTTCCCGTGCAGACGAGACTCACCTGTACTGCATCACTGGCGGGTTGGCCTTTGCTGCGCAGTGAAACTTGACTATGTTCCCTTCCAGGATAGGCTGAGGCTCCACGGTGAGGTTCACCAAAGGCAGGTCTGTGTGTGAGAGTAAACACTTTAACTGCTTATCCAGTACTGGGTTGCAGTGAACCTTTTCCAGGAACTGCATGAGGCAGAGGAACACCCTGAAAGGGACGCCAGTCAAATAAATCGATGCATCAGATTTATGCAGTCCTAATTTTACAAGCAATTTTGTCACAATCGTGCTTTACAGTGATTTCAAGGAAATTAGGATACAAACATGCAATGTAAGAGGTCACAGATCACATGTATAAGTGTGAAGGTCATTTATATTATTATAATAATAAAAACAATTTTTCATCAGTCCTGGAAGCAACGCTGTGACTTGGCAATATGCCTAACAGATTGGGTTGAGAACAGCATAAAGATTTCTGGTGTGCCTTGATGATTATCTGTATGAGAATGGTTGGAAATCTGTTTTTTTTTTGTAAGAGATACAAGGGAAATTGCTTAGAACAAAAGAAACAAGTAACAGCTTGATAATTAGCAACTCACTGATTGTTGATTTGTAATTGGAACACTGTAACAATTTGAAGTACAATCGATAGAATATGGAAAAAAGTGTTGATTCTGGTCTAAAAAAATATCAGTTGTGTAAAGCATAAGTCTAATTGTCTCTCTGATCTGAAGGTGCTGAATTTTTTTTACGAAGGTCTTCAGGGTTTAAGTGTAGCTGCACTGGAAGGACAAACATCATTTCTCTCCGGCCATTTTCCTCTGAGTGTTTCTCCGAAAATGAAGAGAGTCACCTTCTAACTGCTGCTGGCGTCAGCCGTCCTGAAGACACGGGCAGTCATTCTCTGCCTGACAGGTACAATTTCTATTTTAAAAGCCCGCCACTCACTTGGATTTAATGTGGCTTGTCTGCGCCAGACGACCGATTTGGCAATTAACAGGTGGATCGTGCACTCGCCATGTTATGTAACAGTTACAGTAATTTCATTTCACTATTCAACTTAACATGGACAGAAAATATCGACTACTTGACCTAAAAAGCATAACGAAACTCAGAAACATCTATAAACAATTCCTCGAGGCTAAATAAATTGAAACCGCTTATCATTTATAAATTGCACAATATTATGCACAATCTATACAGCACACAAGTACTGAAGGTTGTCATTCTGTCAAACATTTAGCCTGATTTTCAGCCCACGCTCGTTGAGTAGCGTAGGAGGGGAGGTGGTAATAACTGGAGTTAATAAGCACTTCATGAATCCTCTCCATTTCGAAGGTGTTAAGGTCCCTATTCACATGTCTAGGCATGCCCACATGTTCCTTTAAACTCCTTATTGCTACGGTATCCGGGGCTCTGCGATTGCAGTCGATGTTGAGAACATTCAATACTTTGAGCTCTGAGCTCAGTTGGAAAAGTAATAACGGTTAACGAAGGAACACCGGAGACACTCCAGAGCGGCTCGATCATCCTGAGGGCTTGGAGATCTGCCGGGGGGGGGGAGCACGGGGGTACGTGGGCAGGTAAGGGCTCATTTTTTGTTTTGTTTTTTTGGAACGGATCCCGCGGAGAAGCATTATCTGTGAGGTCGTGCTAATTTCATTTCCTTTGGCCTTGGTGCTGGTCTGTAGGAGGCCCTGCGTGCCACAGCCTACTGCTGAAACATGGATGCGACAGAGCGAGGAGGCAGGAGCAGACACCATACCCCGCGGGCGCACAGCTGGGCCGGCCTGACTCAGCTGCCAGCGATCCACAAACGGGGGGGGGGATCCAGGTGCTTCTGCACCGCCTGTATCTAACTCCAGAACGCCTGTTATAGGAGTGGAGATGCAGAGGTAACATTTCAGCCCCCGGACTCATGCCAACCACCTCAGGTGTGAACCTTTATCGCCCTTGTATGGGTTTGTCATCCTCAGAGTTATATCTAGGCTGGGTCTCTTTTGCCAAGGACAGATATGTGTGGCAGCATCAGCAGTTAATGACATGAATGAAGATCTAAGTAAAAGGACCGATAGGAGAGTGGGCATTCGGATGTTTAGGGGCTAAGCCACCTGCAGAGGACACGCATTAAAGTCCTTCCTGTGGTTTGAGAAGATGGGCATTAACACACTCATTTCTCCCAGTTCAGCCCATGTAGAGAATCAAGGCCAGATCTTCCTTGGATCTGGATGTTTTTTTTTCTCTGCAACTTTAGAATACTTTGATGTAAAGGCACTGGCTTCACGCATGTAGACCGGTAATGTCTCCCCAGTGCATTTTACAGCAATGTTCTAGAGTATTCAAGGAAGTAGACTTGTTATTTGAAGAGTTGCAGCCTTGGAACATAAGTGCTTCAAACCTTTTATCAGACCCTGGTTTATTGTGGATGGAGATTTGTAACCCGAATGTATAAATCTATATTCATGAATGGGTAGAATGAACGTTATGCAAGTCTCTCTAGGTATGAATGTCTAATATGCAATAAAACAGTTGGTTCACTCTCAGGATTAGTCTTCACAGTAGGTTTAAGTAGTAGTTTTTTTTCATCAATACTCAGTAACCCTGTGACCTGGGCATTGATGGACAGATGTCAGATGGAGGAGTCAGTTCGTCACTTTGATGTATAAATGCATGAGTTGCAGAGGTTTCTCACGACAGACCATCAATATGCAAGTCTGTTAATTCCTTGAATTCACCTGGAGAGGGTGAGAATGTGAGGCCGGGGGTGGTTACAACAACGATATTAAAAAAAAAAAAAGTACTCTGCTGACAGCGTTTGATCGGAAGTTCAAAGAGAAGACCAGATGGTGTTCAGAACAATTGGCCAACTTCTCCACAGCTCCAAAGATGTGCCAACGTAATTGCTCTCTTCCTTTTTTTAAGCCTTAATTCCCAGTCAGTTTGAACAGCTGATTTCCGCAAGGAGAAATCTGCAGAAAACAGCAATCTTTCGTTGGTGGGGGTTGATGGGTGTGAGTGTGTGTATGTGAGAGACAGAGAGAGAGAGGGAGAGAGAGAGAGAGAGAGAGAGAGAGAGGGAGGTTAACTATTTGATAGTAAAGGAGCAGTAAATAATCTGTAACACTACAGCTCATAGTATCTGTCAGATGGTAGCCCATTGAGCCGACATGGAAAATGATGTGTCTAGATTGTGACTATTTAAAAAAATGTCATTTTGCTTGTAATAAAAGCAGATTTTTTTCCACCTTATCTTTTTTTTTTAAATGTACCTGCAATCTTCAAAAAGCAGATCACAACAAACATGAATCTGCTCCACTTTCATTGCGCTTTGCGTAAAGGACGATGAGGGAGGGTTGAAAAATGACATGACAGCAAACACTGGCAAAAACTGGGGGGAGGGCATCATCCGCGTTTTAATGGGGGTGTAACAGTAGGGTACGACTCCTGAGGAAGCCAGAGATCATCAGATCATCACTTAACGTGGAGAAAATAGCTATGGACCGATGGATGCCACTGCTGTGCAGTTTGAGTTGGAAGAGAAGTGAGTCTCTATCATTTCGCACACAGTGATATTTCCAAGCCCCATAATGCATTTCACTTTCCAGTCAAAAACAGGCAGCAGTTATCCTGCTTAATAAACACCTCCTGCTATTACTCAGCCCTCTTGCTGTAGCCCTCATCTTTCCTGGGACGTCACAAGTCATGGTCCCCCCCCCCTCCACCACCACCATCACATCTGCATCCTCCCGCCCCCCCCCATTAATTATTCTCAACAAATGGCACTATTTTTGCTCCCAGCCTATTAACAATGCATGTGTTCAGGGAGCTGCTATGCCCCCATCGCCTGAAGCTTTGCCCCCTCCCATACACATGCACACTCACCCCCAAGCCAAATCCAAGAGGCGCTTGGGGGAGAAGGGGGGGGGGGGGGGCTGTAAATATAGCAGGGTGGAGTCCTGGAAGTGAGAGAGCCTCTCTCCGCCCTTCTAACTGTGCTCACACAATGACACGTCCACTGAGAGTGACGGCCCATCGATTGACCACCACAATGTCCGCGTCTGGGGTCTCCTCAAGCAGCCGTGATGGCGCTCAGCGCTCGAGACATCTCAAACGGGCGACTTCTGCTCCCCAGGCTGTGGCCTTCTACGTGCCGTCTCGTGTTTGGTTGCTATGTAAATTTCTTATTTAAATGCTAATTGTCTCAGAACAAGGTCAGTAAAGCTCCCCCCCACAAGAAAATGGGCTGGCAAAAACAGATCAATCAAAGACGACCAATGAAAAAGGAGCCTTCCAGACGTGTCAGTTAAAACGTGTGCAAATTTCCTACTTCAAGCACAGATGTAATTCCTAAGATGTATTTAGCTTATTTTAATTTAGGTTTTTATTAGAAGTTTTTTTTTTACTCTGTGAACTGGGGAAACGGCAGTAACCGGTGCTAGATCTAAGTACCGTTAATTACCTCTGTTGTCGGAGATATTGCGGTATCGAGTGGAGTGTTAAATTAGTGCACTGAGAATAAAAGAGAGGTAATAGTCCCAACAGACAGCCTGGTTTTTCAAAAACTCATATAACTACCCCCACCTCCAAACTGAAGCTCACACACGTTATCGTACCCGTGCACACACCGCATGTCCCTGAAGTAACCCAGCCAGGAATGATGTAATCTTGCCAATGCCGCACGCTCACCCGCGAGGTCACATGGACCCACTCGTATGCAGACGTACGCGCGGATCGCCGCTGGGCTCGTGGGAGCTCGCTGGCGCTGAATAAATAAATTAAAGTGCTAGCTAATGCTTAGCGCTCTGATAGCTAAATTAGGCCAGGCAGCCGGGGGAAGCACTTGTGCCTCTGTTCAAGCGGCTAGGGGTCTCTTCGGAGCTTCTAGAACCAAAGACAGGAAGTGCCCAAGCACAGATGTACGCTGTCATTCAACAACGACTCATGTCAGTCTCCGTTTCTATCCCCTCATCTTGGGACTCGGAGCGTCATGACGGTAGCACTAATCACACACGTGAACGTGAGCACCCGTGTTTCTTTAGTTCCAACAACACGAGACATTTTCCCTCTGTGAAACGACCCCCTGGAACATGCTAGCTCCCTCCTGCCAGAAGGAGGGAAAATGCCACACAGAAGGTGTCAGGCGATAAAATGTTCAACTGTCTTTCCAAATATCGTGTTTATCGCTTGGCATTTTATACAGACTCTCATTCAGCCTCTGCTGGTCAAACATTTCCATCAAAATTAAAAACCCCTGCTGAGAAAAGGACAGGAAAAAAGGACAGTAAAGATTTCCCTCATCCCAGTGTAGTGAGGGTGGGTTATTTTGTTTTTGTAAATAGGAATTGGTGCTGCTTTTCTTTTTTACCCGCAGATCACTTCTAAAGGAGGAACGGCGTGGTAAATTCTATTTGCTTAATAAGGAGAGGGGGAATTGGGTTAGGTGTTGGGGAGGTTTGGAATGGTAGAATGAGACTTACATGGAGAAGAAAGCCCACGGTGAGCTTTCCGTGGCCTTATTAAGCTCTCAAGTGCTCATTGCTGTAACAGAACTCTTAGTAGGGGAGTTAAAACCCCCCCCTCCAACTACCTTAGTGGTGCGGTCCGTCTGTACAACCACAGAAGACAGCTGCTGCTCAGCAACATTAAGTGCAGCGTGTGTCATGACAGTGTTCACCTATGCCGGGAGTTGGGGCCCTCACGGGGCTGTGGGGCCCTCACGGGGCTGTGGGGCCCCTGCGGAGAAATGTTTCACACCCGCTTGCACGCATCACTTATTCATGGGACACCTGTTCCCCTCGTAAACGCAGAACGCAGAGACCGAGATCCAGCTTCCCCGTTCTGCCGACAGGCATCGACCTGTTTTTCTTGCGATGCGAGCGGGAAAGATCACTTAGCCTGATGCTGCACTCCCCGGAACCCGGTGGCTCTACAATTCCAATTTCTTTACTTTGTAGATGCCGGGTCTGGCAGAGTAATTGGAGTTAAGGGCCTTGCTCGAGGGCCCAACGGTGAAATCACTCTGACTTTATGATTTGAACCTATCAGACGAACAGCATCGTAACGCGCGCACACACCATCCCCCTAAACTTTATCGATCGCAGGGGAAATGCATGAAACAGTAGGATTCCCTGATCAGGAGCTAAACCCAGTGAGAGTGCCAAATCCTAAGCATTAGACCTCAGCTCTAGCCAGGGTACCGGCATCTAAACACTTGTCTTGCTCACGCTATGCCTCTTCTTCCTCTGAGGGACTGTTCCTTTCTACGGCTGACGAGAGAGCCCGGGGGGGGGGGGGCTGTGCTTCAAAGCTACCTGTCTTGGCCCCTGTTTACCAATGCAGGGACGGCGTAATCGAATCGAGAGAGCACTGGGACTTAACTAATTAATATCAAGCTCTATTGAATCAAAGTTCAATTAGGTTTAATTTCGCGTATGACTTAATTAAAGCGAGGCACTGGGGTGTGGGTCTCAGTCGCTGCATTGAGGTCCACATAGTTACCTGTCTGCAGGGAAAACCAGGCAGGGGGAAGGGGTGACTCGAATCAAAACAAGCTGATGAAATCCTGCTCCAGCAATAAAAGTTTGCTCTCTGAGTGCAAAGAACTACTGTTAATCAGTTATAAGGCATAGACCCTGTTTTAGACGGCACTGCGCTAGAAAGAGCTTCCTTTGGTATACATAATGAAAAGAATGGAGCCGTCAACAGTAATGGATCTGTAAATAGCATTTTCTGCTATATTAGTCATACTTAATAGTGCTGAAGGGTCTGCGCGTGATGCAAACCCTCTTTTGTTCGAAATCCCTCACTTTGTGGCAAATAGTTTTTGATCGGAAAAGATTTTCTGACAATTGGGGCTGAAGGTGCTTTACGTGTTGGGCCTATTTTCTCTCATTTTGTGGAGGATTGTAAGGGGGGAAAAAAAAAGGAGATTTCAGATGAAAGATTGATTGCGGCACAAGGGGAATAAAAGAGGAAGGGAAATGGGAGGGAGGTAGAGCAGAAAGCGATTAACAGGCACTCCTGTTCGTGGCAGGGTGACAAGCTTGGAGGGGTTTTCATTTGAGGAAACAAAATATGGCCACGTATACCATATTATAACAGGACACGGATACTTAAAATTGTACTCGGCATTCAGGCAGTCAAAGCTATTCTGAGCTTTACGGTATTGCGCTCTTTGTTCATTGAACTGGTGAGGTAAGACAAGTTAGCCTCTACTATAATGGTAGCGGTGCTCGGAGGATGGGCATGGCAGACTCACGCTGGATGTCGATGGTGACACTGGTCTCCTTGCCGTTGGGGACCGCCTTGTTGGAGGCCCTGCAGATGATCTGCTGGCCACTCTCGATGTTGGCGGCGGATATGTAGAGGGTGCTGATGGTGCTCTCCCTTCGCCCGTCCCGAAGAGTCTGAAGGGGGGGGGGGACACCAAACACAACGGGATGTCATTGGAAGCCGATGTTCAGCCCAAAGCGCTCAAAGACTCCTGCCCCTCGGGTGAAGCGCTCAGCGTATAAATGCAAGCCTGTCCTACCCCCAGTCCGCCCAGTCTACTCAACAGATGACCAATCTGAAAATGTCTTTGAAGCTGCGGACCAGGAACTTCAGAAGCTGACTGCCATCAAATAAGCATGTCATACACCCCCCCCCACCCAGGAAAATCAGCACCTCCCCAGCCCGTGTATCAGCTGGTAGCAAATGTCTCCATTTGCAAAACCCACCCCTACCATTCCGGCCCCCACAGCAGACCTGCCCCCCCGGGTCACCGAATATGGAAAAACCGGCCCAGGCTGCAGGTCGGGCTGCAGCTGCGGCTGACAAACTCTCTCCAAGCATACCCTGACCCAAGGCCGTCCCCGGCGATACAAACAAATACAACAAGTAAATAAGCGTGAACTTTCTGGACAATTGCGGGGTCAATAGAAGGATCTGCTGATGCCTCAGAACCGCTGTCTCCTGGCGGTTGTTCAGAATGTCCCATTGCATCATTACATAATGGGCTGTGGGGGCTAATGAATCTGCAAAGGAGAAATAAATGCATTGAGCAAACGTGTTCATCCCAGTCAGCCAAGATGTAGGCACCACTATATGGCCAAGGCGCAACTGTGACCGGAAATGATCAAACCGATTTTCCATGTAAATATTTATGGGTTTATACATTCAATTGTGCATTCATACATTTAATTGATATATATATATATATATACATATACAAATGAAATTGATAAAGGACCAAAGCACCAACACACACATATATATATATATATATATACTGCATATATTGGAATTGGTGCTTTGGTCCTTTATCAATTTCATTTGCATCGTAAATTTAACAACGACTGAACCACTTGGCCAATAAAAATGGGCTGAATTGCGTTTAGCTTTGCATTCCCTGGCAGTCTCTGAGGCGCATTTCGGTACCGCCAAATGTCAGGTTGCGATGGTACTGCAGCCTCGGAGCTCGTGCCAAAGCCTGAGATCGCAATGAGAGCTTAGTGCTAATTGCGCTCATCGCGCTTCTGAATATCGTCGCCGTGCTTGTAATAGCAGTAATTACCCCACCATTTTTTCTTTCGCTCTTCAGTCCAAAATGTAAGGAAGCCCATTACTGTCCCACCTACTTTTATGATTTTAATGATGAATGCATATTAGCATGCCAGGAAGCGTGTGATTATTCCAGCTGGGGCCCAAGTGACAGATACCCGCTTTGGCTCTGTTAGCTCAATTGCACCTGAAGAGTGCCGTGACTTGACTTGGCTTAGCAACGTTAGCGACATTAGTAAATGCGCTAGCAGGCTCATGTGAAGAGGGGACACGGAAATGAAGGTCTACCCACCTCCCATGTGGCTTTCAGCCGCCGCTAAACCAGTCAGGTAATAGTGAGCTGGCGGGCATAAAGCACAGTGCGTTGCACTCATCTTTTTCACTTGGACTTTTTGCAATTGGGAGGACGCTGGTGGAAACCTCTAGATGTACAGGTCCAGAGCCAGATTCAAAACACTGGGGTGACAGTATTACCACACTGAGTATCCGTGCTGCCGTCAGACAGAATCGACGTAGCCAAAAATACTACTACCTACTCATTATACAGTAAATAGATATTCAACCTGATGCACCAAAAAGAGTGACACCTAGTGATGTTCTATGGATATACTGTAGCATCTAAAAGGTCGCTTTTGTTTGACCAGTGCTTAAGGATTGTGGTGCTTCTTCATGGAGCTGTACAGGCATGTCAGTCAGCAGAGGGTCAGTGGCTTTCAGCTTTAGGCATTCAATGTGTCTCATCAGACCTCTTAATACAATACTAACCATCCATTAATTATTATCCCACCAGCTAACAAGCCAGTTGCCAGAAACGTATTAACGGAGAGCAGTGTTGGAAAGTAAGATGACAGGAATATTGTCGGACACCCATGAGGGTCCTAATTGGCATTCTGGGTCCTTGAGTTTGTAACAGGGCAAGGTGTCCTTCTGCAGGTTTTTATTCTGGGCCCATGATTGGAAGGTCGCTGGATGGAATCCTGTAGCTGACAGAGTAACCATATCACTGTTGGAAAAATGTTTCACCCTGACCTAAAATTGTACTACGGCCAGATAATATACATGTGGTGAAACCAGGAATGACTTCAGCTATCAGTTATGAAGAGATCTTTTTCGTTACTTGCAAGCCATAGGTTGCCTTCAGTGGAAAAACATTTGGGAACCTTTTCTGAGTCATCGTATTAGAGCGCCAAAAACTGCACTAAAAAGAATTAACCCGCTACATTGTTAAAAATGTAGGAGCCAATAGATTTGTTCATTCTGCTAATGGCTTCTCGCTGTATATGATCATTTTTAAAGTGTATAAATTTCCTCCTGAGCCGTCCCCCTGACTCGCGCTCGGCAGTAAACAATCGCGTGGGATGGAATTTCCAACTCTGCGTTTTCCGTGCAGCTTCGGTGCTCACCTCTAACACAGAACCTATTAGCTGTCAGCCTGGGGATGTGTCAATGTAATATCCTTCCTGACACCACCTGGATTGTTTCTCTCATTGGCTTCGGACCTGTCTGAAGTCATTAATCTTGCATGGGTCCAATACAGCTCAGAACTCATCTGTATCGCGATGGCTTGTCTCAAACAAACAAACACAAAAAAAAAGGGGGAAAAAAATGAAACCGCCTCAGAACTACGAGCGGATGATTTCTGATATAGCCCTTCTTCGAGTGTTGGCGTGTCCTCCTGCTTCTTCGCTTTTTGAAAGAAAAACACAGGACTAGAGTCACGTGAAGGGTGAGTGGCAGTTCTGATCCATGAGCAGATGGGTGAACGGACCAAGAGGTGGGGAGTCTGGTTTAAAAAAAAAAAAAGGCAGGTGAACCCGGACAATAACAGTGTCTGTTAGACAGCCAGTGATTCGCAGTGTACAACATAAACATATGCTCTGTTAAACATACTGGGTAAATTCGAAGAATGATCCGGGGGAAAAACAAAAAACAAAAACAGTGGCATCGCAATACCTCAAAATATTTCCATGGCAGGCCAGAGGGGGCGCTGTACAGTCCCATCTCAGAGAAAGTGTTTATTTTTGGAATTATCAAGCTGAAGACAGTTCAGCCCCCAGTTTTATACTTGATTACCTCTTTGGATTGACTCCAAATAACAGCATGGCACTTAAACTTCTCGGGGCTCACTCAACGCTGGCTCCATTTGATTAAGAACACGGAGGGAAGGAGTGATGGAATATTCCAGAGATGGTGGCCCCCTTCACCTCCGCACCACTATCGAATCTGCAAACCCTATTGAAAAGGTGTTCTCTCCCTCCGCTCTCAATTGTATATTTGAACTTATTATTTAAGGCGTCTAAATGGCATTAATATTCAGTTGGTGGGCAATAACAGGGCTTTGATACGAAGTATCCAGCTCATACAAACACCACAGGAAAAAGCCACAGCCTCCAATCACGGAATCGCGTCGCCCTTTGCCTTTCAAATGCCAGTGTTCCCACCGCAGCGCGAATGAACCGCAGCTTCACTGCACCTGTAATCCGCAATTATGATGGCATCCTATTACTGAGACACTGACGACACATTTTGCGATTTATTAGACTAATCCTAATACCGCCGTTTTGGATTAACTTCTGCCATCTTGCTCTCCAATTAGCAAAAAGCCTCCTTCAGCTTCTCTCTGCTCCCACTTTTAATTTCTGTACCCGACAGCCAGAGAGGTTAATTAGCTTGAAGAGTTAAAAAAAAATATTTAAAATCACCACCTGAGGACACAAGAAACTCAAAAAAATTGCGCAACCAATCAGACATAATGAAATAAAAAGAAAAGGTGGCATATTTCATATAAAAGATTCTGCTGCATCCCTCTATGCTCTACCTGCCTCCCCACATGTCAAAAAAGTCATATATGTGTATTTTCAAAAGTTAATTAGCAAATCTTTCCAGAATGACTCCTCCCCCCAGAGTGAGCAATTACTATTTAAAATGGATCTCTCTAATTGCATAGCAACTGAGATGAAGGCTGTGGAGAAAATTAAATTGAGAGACAGATAAAGAACTAGCTTTTAAGGTTTGGTGGTGGTGGGATTGGGGGGCGGGCGATATTATCTAAGGAGAAAAGATAAGTGGTGTATCTTTACCGCATGTCCTGTCCTGCTTTAAAAGAGGTGATGTGTGGCATTTCCTCACATTATGGAAGAACAGTGCATCAAGCGTTGTTAAAAACGGATAGGGGTGGGGCGGGGCCACTGACCCAGCTGAAAGCTCATTGGCTCCTGGAGTGCCCCCTCCCCTGTCACTCACCGATTCAAAACATGTGATTTATTAATAACAATCTTGGCCGCTTGATCTGAATTATGGTCCCTATTATGCCCCCACCACCTTCAAAAAACATCCTAGAATCGCCCCTGAATGGGATACCAGACGGTCCCAGGACAGCAGTGACCTAAGAAAGTGGTGCAGTTCAGTCCTACCCTTTGTTCCAAATGACCCATCAGAGAAACACTTTCATTCGGCAACATCTGTTCTCATTTGTTCTCATTATCAATTGAAGAAGGCCTTTAAGGGTAGTCAATTATCCTTCCAAGTGCTCGACTTCCATTATTCAGACAAAATAATTATTTTTTAATCAAGTGCATTGGGCGAATGTAGATAATAGGAGCCTTCACAATGCTTGGGTTTAATTGTCTCCACATAGATCCGCCATGTGAACGGTGGCCGCAGAGGAACTCCAACAGACGTGCCTTACATACATATGTTATTATTCGCTATTCTGTTATTTATTGTTCTTCATCAAATGTTGTTTGAGTCTGCAGGGAGATAGTTGAGCAAGAACTTCATTGTACTTGTAGTTGTACAAAGGGCAGTAAAGCCATCATTAAAGAAAGCTTTGAATACTTGAATCAATGAGTGTGACATTGTACATTAAAACCTTTCTGAGGGTAACGGGTTTGGCCTGTCCTTAGCTTCCACGGAGGTCACATGTTAAAAGCGACGATCAGTTATGTCGAAGATCCCGTTTTAAAGTCTTAGAGAGGATTTGGTACACTGTACACCAGAGGGAAACACTCTTCAAACATGGCATAGCAGCCCAACATTGACAAAGGAGTACTGTACGCGGGCACATCAATAACCGAGTGTAGCGAGGCACGGCGGGTTCTGCACCATGCAGAGATCACTGCGTGGTTCCCGTGCCACCCTTCCTCACAGAAGTATTAGGAACGACACCTCTCACTTTTCATTTCGTACAGCGGCTACGTTCCACACATGCCAAGGCTGCTGGAAGGCGGTGCTGGGAAGGGCGATAAGGAGAATGGGGGAGATTAATCCTGAGATGGGACAGAGTAATGGCCGCCTTCCACCTGCTTGTTTGTGTAGCGCACATTGCCAGGTGAAGAGTGCAAACAACTGCAGATAAGGCGGGAGAAGGACCCCGATCTTCAGGGGTCTGGGTTAAAAAAAAGATTCATGGTGAATGCCGGGGAAGACTCGTCTGGAGCATACAGATGACTGACCTTTGTGGCTTTGGCTTTTACTTAATTAGAGAAGCTGATTTAAATTTGTGGGCATGATGCTAATCTAATCTATGACATTTATATACATTGCTTGGTGGCAAAATTTTTGTCCATGTAACAACTTAACAACTTCCTGTCAGAATTTTTCTTGACAAACCTAATAAAACTACAGTTCTGGAGCACCATGTCCGTGTTTTATTTTTTGCTAATTAAAGAGCATATTTCCAAAACTTCATCCATCCATCCATTTTCCATACCTGTCCTATGTAGGGTCATGGGGGTCGAGAGCCTACCCAAATAATTACGGGTGAAAAGCATGGAAAAGCACAGGACGGGGCACCAAGGCATCAAAGTCACTCAGACTACTGGATGGCAATCTTATCTCAAAAACAAAGAAAAATGGACTGAGACAGTTTTGAAAATTTGTTCTTCGGTTATGCTAACGATCAGTCAGCTAGTGCCCGCATCATGGCCGACACTGTTTCTGCACACACCTGGGTTCCTACCTTGGAGTACATGGCCCCGTTAAGGACCTCCCCGTTGCGGATCCAGATGATGGAGGCCGCGGGTTTGGCGTTGTCGGCGTGGCAAGTCAGGTTAAGCGGATCGCCCGCACGCAAGCTCACCACAGGGCCGCCGCTTATCACCGGGTCCTCAGGAGGAACTGCGGGAAGAGCAGGGGGGAGATTGCAAAGGAGTGTCACACCTCATCCTGAGCCCGAGCAGAAGTTGGAAGTCTGTCACATGCGCGAGTCAGAGAGAGACAAAGCAAGACCAGTGAGGAGAAGTCAGGCACCCCTGCCTATGTTGGTCAGAGTATAGAGGATATTTCTGAGGGTTATGAGGCAGAGAGGAGAGCTCTGGCGGCAGGCTTGGGGGATTTGTCTGGCTGTATAACATGAACAGACAGCAATGAAAGTGCTGGGGGGGGGGGATATGCCTCTTGTACACGACAGCAGCTCTGAGCGTGTGATGCATGGTGTAAAATGGGGGATGTGGGAACTCCTCAACGCAAGCCAGGAGTAGCGACAAGTTGCGGCGGCAAAGGGCAACCTCCCTGAATGGCACTGATTACATTCTTCTCTTAAACAAGCAGCCATCATCCTGGTTTTATTCAAACTCGAGGTGAATTATTGATTGGGCTTGCAGCTCATTACACGGAAGATCTGGGGCAAGAAAAAATCAAAGGCAGAGAGCAGCTGGTAAATCCACCAGCGAGGAAGTGAGCGGCGACGGTGGGGAGGGTACGTGTGCGCGGGGGGGGGGGGGGGGGGGAGCGTAGATCGTATAGCGAATGAGCTTAAAAATATGGGGGTAGAGTCCATCTACGAGAGGGGCAGGCGTCAGAAAGACAACGTGATGAGAAGAAAAAGAAGCGAAAGAGACGTGACGGAGAAAGAAAGAGAGATGCAGAGGATAGCATGCAAAAAGATGTAATAGCAGTCAAGGCCTTAGCCTGATTTCACATTATTCATTATGCACATGGAAAACATGCAGTTGGATTGCATTTTAAGGACGCATGGTATCAAGGCACAGAGACATTTGAGTCCCGGCTCTAAATAAACCCTTATATGATTGGCTGCTTGATTAAAAAAACCTTGGAATCTTGATGTGTAGTTTGATAAAAAGCCATCAAATGCTTCCCCAGAGTGTTTAGCCGGCCAGCTAAGAGCAGCTAGTTTGAGTGAATTACTCTTAGAAACAATTTTATATTCCCTGGTTACACTCAGGAACAATAGTAGTCAGTACAGTTAGCCAATAAGTAGCTAATATCTTTCTGGAAGTACCCTGAGGTATTTATTTGGATACAACTTTGTGTTAGGCAAACTAATATATATATATTTTTTTCCATCTAGTTTCATGTGCTTTAATGACATTTGACTTTTACTCCATTGAAAAATCCATTAGATTTCCCACTCTACTCTATGTGGACTTTCTCTTTTGCAAATCTGGATGCTAGTTCCAGGTATCTCCTGCGTTTGCGGGCTCATTATGACGTGTGTCACATGCCCACGTTATTTTTATAGCTACCAGTTAGTTCCGGGGTAAATTGGATAAAGACCTGGTCTAATTTTAGTAAATAGGCCTCCCAGTTCCACCCACATCCTGTCTTTTCAGAACAAGCAATTAAAAAGAATTGTATTTGGTGCTGGTGACAAACTGACGGAGCGTTAGCCTGTGCTATGTGGGGAATGGTCGCTCAGCCGCGGACCGCCACTCTGGTTCCAGTCCAGCTCGAGTCCTCGCCACGTTATCCAACAATGTGCAGTGACTCACAGCCGGTGATTCACCATCGCCTCGGTTTCCTGCCCCCCCAAGTGCGACTTTAATCATTTATTTGGTTTGCTATCTATGTGGATTTTTTTTCGGTGGCCAAGCCGGCAGCTTCCTGGACTCAAGCCCCTGAGATTAAGGTCCGAATCTAAAACACGGTCTGGCTCCGTGGTTGTTTGCCACGTTCTCCGCACGTAGGTGTACACTGACTCCCATATTCCTGAGGCATGTTACCCGCCACAGTGCACAGAAGCTGCATTTATTTCCTACCACACCTGACGCCTTGTGTTTCCCAGGATGAAGCAGAGTACGACTGTCATCCTGTTTGCATAAATGGGCTGACTGAGATGTTTTCCGATTCTCTACATCATCTTCCTCACTGAAGAACTCTGCTAATAGTGGGGACTGATCCTGTGGAAGTTCTCTACAGCCAGTCTTAGCTGCACATCATGTTTGGATAGTGGCAGTTTTGTTTACTCCCCAGATCCTTTGAAACTGTGCCTTACTATCCAAGGCCAACGTATGAAGACCTTCCATTGGACGGTCTCCCGTGACAGGTCTTCTATAAGATTCTCCATTGGACGGTCTCCCGTGACAGGTCTTCTATAAGATTCTCCATTGGACGGTCTCCCGTGACAGGTCTTCTATAAGATTCTCCATTGGACAGTCTCCCGTGACAGGTCTTCTATAAGATTCTCCTTTAACTTTAGAGAGCTGTGCTAGTTCCAAAGGCAGAGCATATTTTAACATCATAAACCCAGTGCTGTACTGTGATAATGTTTTACCACACGCACACACATATATATTATACAGCACTATTGATCTACATATCTGCAGGTTTTACTTCAATATCCACAAATAGAAAATCACCTGAGCAAGAATTTCCAATGTCAGATAAGGAAATGTCAGATGAGCAAATACATAGTTAGTAACCCCAGAACTAGACTAGTAGTAGTAGACTAGTATACTTCAGAAGCAGTCGACATTGTCCAGACAAAGAAACTGAGTCCAGGCTACAGTATGTGGAAATCTCCCAGTCAATCCACTCTGGTTGGGTGAAAAATGGTATATAAGATAAATCGCCATCTGTAGTAGCATCATTAATCAAATCCATCTCCCGTAACATGAGTTGTCAAACAAGCAGAGAGTGGGCACCATGGAAACACACGCCCAACTTCATGGAAGGTCTGACTCATCAGAGCTGGGCACGGGCATTAATACCCTGAATATGGATGAGCCACATTTTAATGCCTGCGGGCAATTTTCTCTTTGGTCTTTGTATGGTCAGTGTAACAAAATGTGATATTGTAGGAATATAGGGAGTCAGTGGGACTCTTTTTTTTCCTAACTGCCTTTTATCTGGCACTCATTTCTGTTACCTTCTGTTTTAAATTACTTATAGCTTTGGCTTTTACTCTTAGTGTTAAATCATTTATAGTTTTGTTTTAATCTCAGTTTTTCATTACTTACTCTCTCTTTTACATTTTTTAAATGTTGTCACCTTGGTCGACACCTGTTGTCTTTTAAATGTGCTGTATAAATAAAGACGACTTGAGTCAGAAGATAATGGAGAAGTTAAGCTGAGAGAAGCCGCACTGCTGACACGTTGAGAACCTTGACATCCTTAAATGTGTCCTGTGCCCGGCTACATGCTACTGACTTGCCTAATCTTAGTAAAATTGGGAGGTGGGTTGTGGGGATGATGTAAAATATGGGGCTGATAGCTAGATTTTGTCCCAATTGACATCAAAAACCTCATGACAACCCTTGTAAAGTGCTTAAACATGTAAAAATCCGACATATTTCTTTACTTACAAGGCATTTTATCTATTTCTGGGATATCTGTATCCACTGAGGTCCCTTACGTGCCTCCAGATTGCTCTTATGCAAAATATGCAAGGGACTGTCCTCATTAGCATGATAAGGAGAGTCCATCGCCATCTCCTGGTGATCTTTAGATCTGTCAATTATGGGAAAACAAACCACAAGTAGGCAATAAGTGAAGACTGACAGATTCGACTTGGTGTGCCTGTTTTCCAGCTGCCCGTATTTCTCTCACAGCTCCGGCCCAGTCCTCCTCTCGAAACTGGGGCACTGAGTGAAACATCCAAGCTACGCCAACTCCAAGGGCTAACAGAGCTCTTTAATCCAAAAAGAACCTCAATGTGCAGTTTTCCTATTCACAAAGTTCACCACCATTTGGCTAAAAAACAGAAAGTGGTTGTGAGCGTTGGTCAGGTCATTACATTTAATTTATCAGACATTTTTATCTAAAGAGACAAACTTTTTCTTAATGTCAAAAAGTCCTTGGAACAAATAGGGGTTAAGGGCCTTGCTCAGGGGCCTGCTGATGTGGCTAATCACAGGATTTGAACCAACAACCTTCTGATCACAGGCACATTGTCCTAACCTGCTGAACCACACACCGCTATTAACTAGGGTATTGTTTTCTCCAGGAGGTTTTGAACAAAACTTTTGACAAGCCTCTGTAGGACAGATGGTGGACTAATGTGATCTATACAGACCAAAGTGTGCAGAGATAATTAGGAAGCGTAGTTACTATGGACCTTCTTAGCCTCATAAAATATTCCTCTGTGCTGCCATCCTTCCTCAGTGTTGTGAAGAACAGTAACTGAGGGCAGGCTTTTAAACTCAGCAGCCATCACCATCACGTTCCTGTTTGCAAATGCGAGTGACCTTAATGGCTCCAAATTAGTGGTCCTCTTCTGTCACCGCATAGATTTCTCACGAGCCGGGCCGAGGCATAGATTGATCGCTTGTCTTCAATTAGTGGCTATCTAAGCAGGAATCTCTCTTCAGCTTGCCCTGTTTACACTTACATTGTTTCTTTGAACTAGCGCCCCTGTTTCCAACAAATGTAAGACACAAGCACACACAAAGACAATATTTTTTTTTTTTTTAAAGTTCAGTCATTTCATGTATCTTGAAGGCACAAGGTCATTTTGTCCTGGGAGAGAAACACAGAAGGAACGGACTAATCTGGGTTTTACTCAAATAAGGTGAACATGGGGTGAGGTCTTTGAATCCCAAACTTTAATCATCTCAGTTAATTCTTCCCTCAGCATAAGTTCGGAAGGAGATTAAGTACACCGTAGAGTGACAAGACTGTGCTGACTGAGTCCCTTCTACGGGGATGTTTTTGGGAAATAAAGCCCAATCCATCCCTCTGGCTTTTTTGATAACAGTCATCGCAGGTGTTGTGACTAATCTCTTATGTACCCTGGGTCACCATTGGATGGAATAGGAGTGGTGGTGGGGGGGGGGGGTGTTTTTCACAAGCTGCTTCATCTCATCCCAACCGTTTGGGTAAGCAATGTCCCCTAGAGTTAATTAGAGCAGCCTGAGGTAAAATGGAAATGCAATAGCTGT